CTCTCTCTCTCTCTCTCTTTCTCTTCCCCTTTTCACTCTTTCTTTTTCCTTTTTCTCCCTTTATCTCTCTGTATCTTTCTATCTCCCTGTCTTCTCTTTCCTTTCATCCTCATCAGTTTGTGTTTGCATGAACGCGGCCACGCTTGCACGTGTAAGCGTGGGTCTAGCGTGCGATAGTCTATACTAAAGAACAAACACACAAACACACACACGAAAACATGCACACGAAAACATATAAACACACATGCAAACATACACACACACATACACACACATACACACACATACACACATGCAAACATACACACACATACACACATGCATAAACATACACACACATACACACGCAAACACACACACGCAAACATACACACACATACACACACACAAACACACACACGCAAACATACACACACACAAACACACACGCAAACATACACATACACACACGTAAACACACACACACATACACACAGACACATACACACACATACACACACACACAAGTAAACATACACATACACACACACACACTTCATCCCCCAAATCACTTTATTTCTTACCCAATCCGACATTCGTCAGCATTAGATCATAACAATTCTCCTGGAACAACAGAGAAAAAACCCCACCTAACAAATAAATCCGCAAACACGTAAACGCTCTTACATACAACTCGCGTCTTCTTTCTATTTCCAAGAAATATCATTATCTCCGAGGCGCAACTTCTTTAGGAGAAGCGATTACATGAGGGAACACACCTCCCAGCTCACATTTCCCAACACAAAATAAATGTTTGTTTCGTGCTTTAGCATTCATAATTTTATATTTCCAAACATTAAATAAATGTATATTTCATACTTAAAACGCATAATCTATATTTTCCAAAGTAAAGTAAATGTTTGTGTAACGCTTAGAATTAATTGATAATTTATATCTCGGAACGTAAAACAAATGTTTGTTTCATACTTGGAATGCATAAATATTATCTATATTTCCCAACATAAAATGTATGTTCGTTAGACACTTAGAATTCATTCTGAGGAAGTTTGATGCACACAGGAGATGATCGAGAATCCACTAAAAACTTTCGACATTTAATCTGGACGACATTTAATGACGTAGGGAGAATCATCATCATCATCAAGTGCCAGTTCTATGAAAGACATTAGCCATCACGGTTCTCCATTCATTCCTTTGTTCGGATGCTCTCAAAAAATCTAAATTATCCCGAACTTTTCCAGTGACCCATAGGTTCAAGAGTGACGGTGATCGCTAAATGCTCAAAACAGAAAAGAAAAATGATGAAAAGACACACGTTCAATGCCCCTATCAACAGTATTAATTGTTTCTTTAAGAGGCGGGACCTTCGAGTCTAAAGTTGATCTCCGAAAGGGCAGAGCCAAATAGGAAATTCACGTAAAGGGCCTTTCCCAAAGACAAGACATCGGACTGAGCTAAGGCTCAATCCTCCAAACCCGCAATATCATGATTACGGGTCCGACAGCCTAACCACTTGGCTACCGACGCCACAAAGTCGAATTGAGAGAGAAGAAATATGTGGCCCTAGACTTCGTCAAAACACCCCGGCCATTTCGTTCACCCCTAGACAAACAAAAATGAGAAACGATGCAGAAAATGGACATCAAAGTCTGTGGTCTAGCTGTTAGGTGCTTCGCTGTCGCACGCACAAGACCCAAGTTCGATTCCAGGGCAGGGAGAAAATTTAAAAAATATGTTAACAAGTACTGCTTGGGACGTAAAATTCACCTACAGTTACAAAACATTTTTTTCACAGCAGAAAAGGACATCAAGCAACCCCCC